CTCTGGTCTGCCCGACTCTGATTTGGAATGGGCCTGTATATCATACCGGTTGTCTGGGTCCTGGTGCCAACCTGATACCTAGCCACCCATGGCCCAGATGCTGACAAGGAAAGGACCCCCCCACCCCAGGAACCCTGGAAGGCTGGGTGGTGACTCCAAGGGGCCCAAGGTTCCCCTCCTGCCTGGGGCACAGACATGCCACGTCTGGGGTTGCACATCCAGTCCAAGCTGGAAGGCCCTTCTGCAGGCTGGGCCCCTCGCAGGAAGGCAAACTGGCCCTTCTGCCCCAGGGAAACTGGGAGCATCACCCCTTCCAGCCTGACTGGAGGGAGAGGATGCCCGGCCTGAGCATCGCCTGGCCGCTCCGCCTCGCTTCCGCCCCTGCTTGGAGCCAAACCTGCCATCAGAGCAGGGGGCAGCACTCACTCGGCTGTGTAGTTTGGCACCTGCAGTGCTGGATCTGTTGGGGAAGAGAGACAGAGAGAGCGAGTCGGGGGAGGGGGGAGGCTCGCTTGCAGCCAGCGCACCGACAGTGGGTGGGCGGCCCTCCTATGAAAGCTGAGGAGGACTCCCAGGGCAGAAGAAGGGCAGCAGGTTCCCCCCAGCACTGTGAAGGCTCTCGCCGGGCATGGGAAGCTCTCTGGCCCTGCGACTGTGCCCTTGCAGAGAAGCGAGTGCAGGCCGGCCCGGCCCGCCCCACCTCGCCCCGGGATACAGGGCAGCGACCTCCCTCAGCAAGGGGGGAAGGTGCCCCCCGGCACTCACCACCTTTCAGGGTCCACTGGATATCACCGGTTTTCCTGCTCACAGCATGGAGGTTCCCCTCCAGGGTTGCCACAAAGAGCAGCGCGTCAGCGGTAGTCTCTGGGGCGCCAGCAAGGCCCTGGCCGGGGGGCTGGGCAGGGAGGGAGAGGGGGCGGGTATCAGGCTGACAGCAGGGGTAGGGCTGTGGGGGCGGGAGAGCCCCTGCCTGGTCGGAGAGTGGCAGAGCCAGCCAGGTGCCCACGGCTGTCAGGCGGCTACCCCACACAGCGAGGGGTACTTCCACCCGGGGTCGCATCCGAGCCGAAGGGAGGAAAGGCCAGGGGGCCTCTGGACATGAGGGGTGAGGCGGGGGGGGCAGAACAGCAGCGCAAAGGGCAACAAGGGACTTGGGGTACAGCGGAGCCCCTCCCGCCTCCACCCTCCTGCTGCTCCAGCCGTTCCACACAGCCTGTTCTCTCCCAGGAGTCTGGCGGGGGGGGGTGGGGGGGGGCCGGGGCAGAAAGGAGAGCAGGGGGGGGGGGCTGGGGGGCTCCTCTCCTGCCCGCCCCGCCCCGCCCCGCGCTGTTCCGTACGAAAGCAGAGCCGCGGGGGGGGGGAATCCGCAGCCGTAACAGGCGCGTCTGCGTGCGCTGAGCCCAGAGGGGGCCGCGCCCGCGCCCCGCTCGCCGGACAGCGCGGCCACGCGGGGAAGCGGCGGGAATGAGGCGCTGCGGCGGCGCTGCTCGGGGGCCCGGCCAGCCGGCCCGTCCCTTCTGCGGGAGCCCCCCGCGGATTTCGCCGCCCGCGCCCGAGAGCCCGGCTGCGCGGCGGCGGCGGCGGCGGCGGCGGGAGGCGAGCGCGATCCACCGCACACGCGCGCACCGCGCCTCGCCTCGCCGTCCCTCCCCGCGAAGCTGCCCGAGCCGCGCCCCGGGCAGTGGCGCGGCGGCCGCTTCACCTGTCCCGGCGCCTGGGCTCCCAGCCCGCTCGGCCCCGGCCCAAAGGGCTCGGGTCCGCGCCCTCGCCCCTCGCCCCTGGCCCGAGGCGGCCCCGCCGGCGAGACCGCAGGAGAGCGGGCCGCATCCGGCTGCACGGGCGGCGCGGCGTGCCAGCCGCCACCGGCCGCCTCCCCGGACGCCGCTCCCCGTCGGCAAACAGTGAGGCGCGCGCGGGGGCGGCTGGCCGCGACTGCCCCCCTCCCCCGTCCCGCACAGGCAGCGGCGCGCCGAGCAGCACCTCCGGCAGCCCCTCGGGAGGAGCTGCGCCCGGGCGCCAGCGCGGTGCCCCCGGGAGTCGCCGCCAGACCCGGCCCGCCCGCGGAGTCACCTGCGCCAGGAGCAGCGCCCCCAGCAGAAGCAGCGGCGGCGCTCGGCCGGGGTGCGGGCTCCGTCGGGGCTGCTCCTCGCAGGTGCGCATCGCGGCCTCGGTGCGGCGTTCCGGCGGCGGCGGCTGCTCGGGGACGGCCGTGGGACCCGCCGGGCGTTGCTCATGGCCGGCGGGCAGGCCGGGCAGGAAAGGCGGGCCGCGCAAGCGGTGCCCGGTCCCGCCTGGAGGGCCTCCGCCCCAGATCCGGGTGCCTGCCCTGCCCTGCCGGAACCCGCCGCCCAGCGGGTAGTCTCCTTGCGTCGCCTGGCAGCCGCGCGGGCACTCCTGCGCCAAGGATCGCTCCAAACCAGCCGCGCTTCTGGCGGAAGTGCGCTCTGCACGCGTGCAGAGGTACCCCAGCCATGTCACGGCTTCACAGCCCGCGCCCCTGCGAGGCAGGACCCGCAGCAGGTCGCCTCTTCCAGGGCCTTTGGAAGGCGAGGCGCGGCCTCGCGCGTCGCCAGCTGCGCCGCAGGTGAGTCGCCCGGGGGTGCAGCCCTGCGTCCGTTCGGCGGCAAGCCCCCAAGGGCGAGGACTGAAGGGCCACCCGCCCGCCCGGCGCCCCGGCGCGGCGCCTTCGTAGCCCCGCGTGGCTGCCGTTCCCTGCGGGTCCCCTTCCCACGGCCACGTCCGCTGCACAGCAGGCGCGCCATGCCCTGCAAGGACGGGCGGACCCCGTGCCCGGCGGGCGGGCACCAGGGCAGGCAGGCCTTTCATGCGGCTGCGTCTGGGCCGCTGCGGCCCTGCCGGTCCCCTGCGCCCGGTAGCAGCCCCCGAGGGGAAGCGGCGCCGGGGCAAAGACGCGGCTGTGCGGCTGCAGCGCGCCCGGGGGCCGCCCTGAGGGCGCACCTCCCGCAGGAGGCTCGGAGGGAACATGCGCGGGAAGGGCCGCCCGTGGAAGCAGCGTGGCTGGACCCAGGCATGGCCGCAGTTAGCGGATCGCTGAACTCTCCGGGGTTAGTCTCCGCCATGGCTGGCTTGTCCCATTAATGGACTCCTGCAAGGACGCCCCGGCCCAGCCCCCCTCCTGCGCCGGGAAGGCCTCGGGAACAACACGCTAGCGAGAGACGGGCAGGCGCTTCAGGCGGGAAGGAGCAGAGACGAGCCAGAAGGCGGCACCCTGGGCGGCTGCGGTGCGGGCAGCTCTGTTGGGAGCAGCCAGGCCAGACGCTGGCCTCCCGCACACAATCAGGAGGCACAAGGGGACCCCTGCAAGGCTAACGGACACGAGCCCGCCCTCAACACACATGCGAAGTGTCTATCGCATGTGGCCAGATGGCCGACGTGCAGGCCGTGTCCTCGCAGGCAACAAACAAGGATCCGCCGGGCTGAGGGCACCCTGCATATCCCGTGGAAGGCACTCCCGGGAAAGACCCTCTGCTGCGGCGTGAAGAATAGCAGCCGCACGTGTGCCAGAAGTTTACATGGGCAAGAAAATGATTTGTCCAAGGCATGAAGAAAGACTATCTTTCGAAGAAATGAGAAGGCAGGAATATATTTTACATTCCCAAAAGCCAGAATCAAACCCAATCCTGCCCAGAAGATTTATCTGGTATCATATTACTAGATATGAAACCACATCCTTATTTATTATGTTTAGGGTTATTATTGTAAGCTGTCCAGAGACGACAGTAATGGACGACCTATAAATGAATAAATACATAAATCCTAAGACTGCACCTATAAATGGAAGGATGGAGAAACTTGCTAGGTTAAGGGACACGGCTTATGCTGGGAGGCAATCATCGGGAGTTTTCCACCCAGGACTGCCTTGGCATTAGCAGGAAAGTCTGGGACTCCATTCCCAGGGGCGGCCACTCAGGTTAGACCCCCTGTGCCTACGAGATGTTCTCAGAGCTGGGTTAAGAAAATGGTCGCTCAGGGCTGGTGGCACTGAGGAAACCTGGAGAATGAGTCTTCGGAGAGATTGGAATTAAGAGTCTGCTGCCCTCTCGTAACATGAGAACCTGCCATTCTGCCGGCACCTACTGGGGTCCATCCAGCACAGACGTGCGCCCCCCTCCACACTGCCGTCTTTGCACACCAGGCTGAAGAGCAATGCAGAGAATCGGCACCAGCAGCAGCCACCTTGCGAGTGAGAACCTGCCGCCAGCTGTGCGGCGTGTGCCTGCTCCTTCTCCCTCAGCTGCGCATCTCTGGAACTAACGGCAGCTTCCTTTCCAGCCCGGGGATTGCAAGCGCATCACCCGGCACATTGCCACCGAGTGGCTTCGAAAATGTGTTTAGGCAGGTTCAGTGCTTATGCTGGAGAGAAATCAATCCAGCGCTCCTCTCCCCGCTGGAGAGGGAGAAAGACACCTAACCTTATTTTTATGAGCCGCGTCCCAGCAAACTGCTTTTTCCGTGGGCTGTGCTTATGCCCTTCAGTGAGAGTCCACACTGCAGAGCATTGGTGGTCACCCTCGAACCTACACCTTTGCATTCAGCTCCCTGGTGTGCTTGTTTACATCACTCAGAGTTTCTTCCACACTTTTTACCATTGCCGTCCCCACCTTATCAGGCAGGATGATTCGGGAATGCTGTGGTCTGCATTGGATACAGGATAGGATATTCCTTTCAACAGAGGGTTGAGCACTCCTAAGGGCCAAGGAGGTGACCACCCTGGGGACACAGGACCCTCGGGACACATCGGACTCATTGAAAACCCTGGTTCCTTACCCAGTTCCCTCGATGTAACAAACCAGCGCTTCTTCCCTTCCCACACAACACTGGTTAT